GGTAATAATACTATAAATATACTGTTCGCAAAATACGAAAATACAGTATACTAACCGTATATATATTTTTTATAGGGTTAACGAAGTTAATGCTAATCTTATTCTAATCTTACTTGATGAGTAAGATTGAAATTTCATATAAAATTTCAATCACGATCAGCTTGAGATTAAGCTTAATCTCAATCACATTTTTTGTGAAACCAGATTAACCTCTAATCTCAATCATAATCTCAATCACGAATTTTGTGAAGACCCCCATTATTTAGAGATGAATCTGCCAATTTATTTTATTCATATTTTTTATTTTATTTTTATTTTTATGACGCAGAAGATATTCATATTTTTTATTTAAATTTGATGATTTTTAACATCGGGAAAAGCCTGTATCATGTGATACACGTGAGATTATAAAATAACTATAGTGATCTTAGTGATCTAAACTTTTTTTAACTTGACAATCATTAATATAAAAATAAACTATTTTTAACCCTCATATCAAATAATTCGATAGATTTTTTTGTGCCAAAATGATGATCATATCCTGGAATGCATTAGATCATTGACAATCATATCTTAAAATGAAAAATTATGAAAAATTGTGAAAAATTGTGCGGTTTTATGGATTAGTTAGTGCATTTTTATGGATTAGATTTTGCATTTGATCTAACCATAAGTCCAAATTTGGATGAAAAAGTCTCAGATAATTTTATATATATGTTAGTATAGCGAAGCTAACGTTTGACTCTCTCTCTCGTTGTATACATTTATTATATAGTATATCTGCAGTAAAAGTGTTTTAGAAATATAAACTTTAAATTTTTCAAGTATGTCAGGTCCCTCGAGGAACACTCGCAGTAACACCTCGAAAGGCATTAATCCTTACCAACAAGATAGAGAATAAACCATTACGGAAACAACCCAACTGATGGACATAGAAGAACCTTCGCAGCCAAAGATAGTCTTTGAACTTAAGGATGACTTTGAACCTGTTTTAAGTAGAAAAGATAAAAGAAAAGTAAAACAGCAAGAACAAGCACGACAACAACAATTCCCTAGGCCACCTGGAACTACTTCGGTAATCAGTTCTGGAACTAGTCAAGAACCTTTTCAGCTTCTCCCTTTTATCGATGAGACACCCAACTTTACTTCCGCTGCATCAAAAGAAAAAAAGAAAATGGCTAATTCAAAAAAAGATCAGCACCAATCAAAATCTGCCAAGAATTCAAATGCATCTACATCTCATACAAAATCAACTATTACTGAATCTGGAATGGATGATCAAAATAATCAACAGATGATCAATTCAGATGAGCAGATCCCAGATCAATCTACTCCAAAAACGAATGTCATTGACATTAATGACGATATTAACATCATTGGTGTAAAAATACCACAAATCTGGAAAGCAATGGGAAAAATGAAGGACCGAGAACATGCTAGAATGTTTATCAACAAGATTATTACCAATGCCAAATCAGCAGTTGACATCATTAGTTATATTAATATTAAAAAACAAATTGATAATACAACTTATCACATGATCACCATTAAAGTTAGCAATGAAAATGAATTAAAAAAATTATGTGAACTAGAATTCAAATTGCCTGAACCTGCAATAGAAATATTTAAATTTACCCCAGTTGAAAATAAAATTGAAAAAATTTGTGAAGAAAATTCAAAAACTAAAGATCGTACAATTCAGGTTGTTAATATTCCAATTTATATGCAAAATAAAGAATTGCGTGCCATTTTTTCAAGATATGGAGAACTTGAAGAAAATGGAATTCATACAAAACTGAAAGGCATTTATACACATGCATATATCACTTACAAAAAAGAAAAAAGCATAGAAGTTTTTTATAAAAAGTGGAGTATATGGGCATTAAAAGAATATCTCCATGTACTTCCCTTAAATTTATCAGATGAAAAAAGAAAAGAAAGACAGCAATGGTGCGCTAAAATTAATGGATTACCCCTCGGTACTACTGCAAGAGATTTACAACAATTTATTGAAGAAATTGGTGGAGCTATTTGTTTTATTCCTAAACAACCGAATAATTACAAACCTTTAAAATATGCTTATATTTACTTTTTCACTCAAGAAGATATGGAAATAGCAATAAATAATGTATATGAATTCAAACGAAAGCAATTAGAATGGTCACCACCAGAAGATAAATCTTGTCATCTCTGTGGATACACCAATCATTTAGCAAAAGAATGTGACAATAAATTCACTACTGAAAGAAAAAATTATACTAACCGTAAACAACTCCTAGCACAAATGCACAATACAGAAATAGACAAAACAACAGAAAAAGATCATATGCAGATACTGTTAGAGATAATAAACCTAAAAGACCTTGGAATCGTTTTCTTAGTCGTCCTTCACAAAATTGTTCCCAAAATTGGGATGAAAGTGATATGAACGAATGGGGGGATGAAGAAGAATTTTTCACTGATAGAGAATTAAATAACAATAATATTAAAAATGGAACAGCTAAAGGTGGTTCAATTCATGATAAACGAGCAAATAAAAACAGCAATCAAGCTGATATTGTAACTATTAAAACACAAATAAATGAAATTGCAACCTTATTGAAAGACTTCAAAGAAGAACAGAATAATATGAAAAATGAATTTTCTGAAATTAAACAAAAATTCAACACCAAACCAGTAAATACTGGAAAACAGAAACAAGTTACTTTCAATGAAAATAACAAACGAGCAAAAATGGACTCATCATCAAGTGAAAATGATAATAATGATACTATTTTAAAATTACAAGAAAAAATGGATAAACAAGATAGTGTACAGTCAACTCTCTTTATAGTCACACATTTGGGACAGTCCATATTTGGTGATTATAAAGAGATGTGACTATATAAAAAATTTCTTATATTTGTATGTCATAATTCCGGCCAAAAATTAACATAATTTTAGCCAGAATTATACTTAAAACTTTATTGTATCGTAACTTCGCCAATATTAATCGTAGAGA